TGCCCTCTGCCACCTGGGAGCAGGCCTAAGCCAGCAGGTCGTTATCTCCCGAGGGGTCCCAGACTGCGAGAGGGCACAGGCCGGGCTGAGGGACCCCCCCTTCCCCCCCGAGTGCACAAATTTTTGTGCACCGGGCCCCTAGTATACATATAATTACATATTGTTTTTGTGATTAAACACTATGCTTTCATTATGTTCAATTTGTAACAGTGAAAATACATCCTGAATATCAGATATTTACATTACGATTCATAACAGTAGCAAAATGACTGTTATGAAGTAGCAATGAAAATAATTTTATGGTTGGGGGTCACCACAACATGAGGAACTGTATTAAAGGGTCGAGGCATTAGGAAGGTTGAGAACCGCTGCTCTAGAGCATGGCCTTGACCTTCCACAATGGGTACCTGAGTGCCAGCAGCCGGACCTATGTTATCTTATGCGATTCTTCGGCGCAGGTGTTACCATTTCCATGTTACAGATAAGGAACTGATGATGAGAGGTCCCGTGACTGCCCACTGCTGGGAACTGGCGCAACCAGGACTGGAACCCAGCCTGGCCAGCCCGGCTCCTGCTATCCTGGCCTCCCAGTAATCTGTGAGTGGGGAACAACGTGTGCCCACAGGCTTCAGGGGAATTCTCCACTCTGTCCACCCCTCAAACCTGTGCCTTGAGGAAGATGGCTGAGAGGCAGAAAGAGTGGCATCCAGATCTGATGGCAGTAAGAGGCCACGAGTCTGGGGGACCTTAGGAAAGAGACCAACCTGACCTGTTATCCCCCGATGCCTCGCCTTGCAGCCTAAGCACAGAGAGGGGCTTAGCACACATAGTCAAACAACCCTTAACAGGTGGCTGGATGAGAGAGAGGTCAACATGCCCTCGAGAAGGTCTTCTCCATTCTGCCCAGCTTCTAGAATGATCCAGGGAAAGCCCCAGGCCTGAAAGAGCCTTCCGGGGGTGCTTCGTAAGTGCTGTACACTCTCTCTGCTGTCCTTGTACCCCCAAGAAGTTTTCTAATCTGTAGTCTACATGTGAACTAATTGAACTTATTAGGCAAGAGGTCAAGGTCGAACAGCTGCCTTCAAAGGTCGTCTGAACCACTGTTAGATGGTTTCATCCTCCTTCCTAATCTCCCCAGAGAAAACAATCCCTACCCACCCCCTCATGCCTTCACAGTCCTGGAAATTAGGAAACAAGTCTCATAGTTCCTATGAGTGAGCTGACCCCATGGGTAACATGAGCTGAGCTACAAAAATGTTCTTGCCCTTTGCACCAGTATTCATTCTGGATAGAAAATAAAACACAAGGAGAGTGGGGGGTGGGGGGAATCTAAAAGACTAACGAAAGTTATTTTCGCAGAGATGGCCATAGAAGTGGAATTATTAATTACAGAACACATAGAAGCAATCCAACTTTACAACCGAGTGACAGAGGATTGTTAAGGTGGCAGATACCACGTGGAACTTAACAATGACACGGTTCATTGGTTTATTATGTTCATTTAAAATGCATGATCTCACTCATTTATGGACTATAATGAACAATATAAACTGATGAACAAAAACAGATCCAGAGACAGAGAAGCATCAATCAGACCGTCAAACCTCAGAGAGAAGGTAGGGGAGGGTGGGGGCAAGGGAGTGAGATCAACCAAAGATGCAAGCATATAGGCCTAACCAATGGACACAGACAACAGGGGGGTGAGGGCATGAGTTGGGGGGGGTGGTGGTAATGTGGGAATAAGGACACATATGTAATAACTTAATCAATAAAAAAAGAAATTTAAAAAAGAAAGAGAAAAAATAAAAATAAATAAAAATAAAATAAATGCAGCCAAGCCATGGCTCAGTTGGCTGGGCATCGTCCCAGGCACCAAAAGGTTGCAGTCTCGATCCCTGGTGGGGGGCGTGCAGTAGGCAGCCAATCGATGTTTCTCTCTCGCATCGATGTTTCTCTCTCTCTTTCCCTCTCCCTTCCTCTCTCTTTAAAAATCAATTTAAAATATTTTTTAAAAGCATATTAGATTATAAATGGTTTAGTGACTGCATCAGTTTTATTTAAAAAATAATTAAATTAAATAAATGAAAACTGTAAAAGCAGAACATTTTAATTTCAGAATAGCATTTGAATGAGAAAGACTCAGCTATGCAATTTTATTTTTTTCCTTTCCTTTAAAGAATTTAAAATCAATTCGTTTTTGATGAGGTAATTCTTGCACACGGTAAAAATTCAGGCACATAATACATTAAGGTCTAAAAACCTAAAGCAATATGCAAAGAAGCAGCACCCAGTAACCCATGACAATCTTTTAAGAATGTGGGTTTGTCAATTTACTAACCTCAGAAGGGAACATGGAGAGATTCGGATCTATTTTTTTGGTTTTGTTTTCCCCTGCAAGGCTGAAGAAAGCAAAGGTTCAAAAATGAAGAAACCCGGAGCAGAAAAGCCACACCATTTCTCTACAAGACATAGCTCAGAGCTTCTTGGCTGGGACTCTTTCAAGTCTAGCTCAGATCCCTCTTGCTGTAATCTGTGAAGGAAGCAGCTAAATCAGGGTGGAGAAATCTGGCAAAGAAAACCATGTGAGAGAAAATCGACTGCCTTCTTACCTGTTCACACACCGGGATGCAATCTTCTAGCGTTTTGCTGTCGGTTTTAAAGGACTCCAGGGCCCAGAGCAGGTGCCTAGCGGCCAGGGGCAGTGGGAGCCAGGTGGGAGCAGCTACGGCTTCCCCCAGCCCACGATCCAGGCTTCCCGGCTGATGGGAAGGGCCAGAAAGGAGGCCAGTACAACACGATTCAGAAACTGAAGCCAACAAGGGTGGGGCAGACCACGTGTCCCCAGCCTGCCTTAGAATGTGGAGTAGGAGGGGGCCACAACCCCACAGAATCGATTGGGACCTATTCTGACCTAAGGCATCTGTTAAGATAAGTGGTGGGAGTCCCCATTTGGGTCGTTTTAAGGGGCCACCCCAGCTCCTCTCCAGAACACAATCACTTTAACCAAAAAAATCTTCTTGCAAAACTTAATAAAACTGGGTGATGTGATAGTAACCGGAGTGCATGTCAGGCAGGAGTGGGGAACGTCGGGCCTGTGGGCTCTATAAGAACCATGACATCATTTGGTCTGGCCCTGCCAAGGCATTGGGGGTTGAGTTCATGAAAAGTTTACCCAAATATAGCAGGCTAATTTTAAACTTGATCATTTTGTATGGCCCTCGAATGATGTTATAAATATCCAAATGGCCCTTGGCAGAAAAAAGGTTCCCCATCCCTGATGTAGGGGAATGAATATTAGACAGAGAAAAGACCTTTGATAGATATCAGTGTTGAGGCCCAATCAATGACCCAGTCTATACGGAGACATGAGCCCAGAGAGATCACATATCGAACCCAAGATCACACAGCCCACATGACTCAGAGCCTTTCCTGGTGTAGCATGTGGTCTGACAGGAGACAGGCCCTTTGCTCAGGACACCTCCCAGGACAAGGGCACTCTCACTTTGCCTGGGTCAGAGCGAGGGCTGAGAATGGCTCTGCCCAGGAGAATTCTGTGGGCACCGAAGAGGCAGCTCCATCCTCTCCTAATTTTCATAGCAAGCTCTCTGACTTCCTCAAGACTATATTTGGCCCTGGCTGGTGTGGCTTGGTTGGTTGGGTATTGTCCTGTGCACCTAAAGGTTGCTGGTTCAATTCCCGGTCAGGTGCACAGGGAATGTGCACCTAAAGGGTGCAGGCTTATCTCGATGTCTCTCTCTCCCTCTCCCTTCCTCTCTCTCCAAAAATCAGTTTTTGTGAAAAAGGAGTTGTATTTGGAATTATGGAAGGGCCATACCCCCAAGGGATCCTTTAGCTCCCCCATTAGTGGACATTGCATGTGGGGGGCAGGGGAAGGGCTGTGTTCAAAGCATCAAACTATCCAACAAGACAGTTTGCAGTGTTTCCCTGAGTGCGAGCAGAGCCCTTTAAGGGCCCCTGATTAACATCTAGGATTCCACAGCACCTAGTCCGGGAAATGCTGGATTAGAGGACATTAGCATATTTTACTCTGAATGCCAATGCCTGGCACAAGTAGTTGTTCAAGAAATGGTTTCTCAATAGGATTGACAAAGCTAGATTCCTGGTTTGGCCCTGAACTTCCGGCAGGACGATAATGCCCACACAGGAATGCACTGGGCTAATTCCCCACCCCCGTCCCCAAAGCAGTGGCTATACTGGCCACACCCTCTGCAAGGCCTTGCTGCAGAGCTCTGCCAAGTTGCTTCATACCAGTCCGGGCAGCCCGTGGGAGGGCACGAGGAGGGAAAGTTGATGGGGGAACAGTCATAGGATCTCACTGGGCCTCAAAGAAGCCTCAACAAACTCCCCTGCGCCTTCTCTGGGGCCTCTTGGCTTGAAATGATGCCCATTTATTTTAAAGCACTGCATCTAGGACTGCAGTTCAAGATGGAGGTGGCTCCGCGTCTCCCCAGGCTTCTGCACCCAAGTTCAGTGGCCACGCTTCCTGTTACCATGACCTTGGACCATGTCTTATTCTTCCCATTTTACAGACAGGAAACTGAGTCCTTGCTTAGAGATTGGTGAACCCAGGTCATCTGACTCTATCCAGTGCTCTTTCCCTGGCCTTCACTCCTACTGACATTTGGCAGACAGGATCTTGTTTCTGCTTGGCCTTTCTCCAGGTGCAGCATCAGCTTCTTAAAGGCAAGAGATTCCCCTGCGTGCCTGTTAACAGCATTAGGCTCTAATAAACCGTAGTAAATGTTAATACTTCTCTTGATTATTGTCACTAGCATGTCACTAGCTTATACACCACACTTATCCGGGGCCCAAATTAACTTGTGAACTTGGCCCAAATGACCTAGTCAAAGGCAACTCTCATTCCCTAAGATCTTGTTTGCAATCAAAGAAGGGAGCACAGCACGCTCTGCTGGGTGGGCTTGTGCATTGAAAATTCCATGACCAGGTTCAGTGAGCTGACAGCAGCCCCGCTTGGCTCACTTTCCCAGAGCATTTCCAGGGAGCCAAAGCAGACAACCGTCTCGGCTCTCCTGTTGCTTCTTCTATCCTAAGCCCTTCCTTTGCTTCATTGTCCTCAACTTTAATAAACATACTTTCAAAATGAAAAATAAAAATGTTTTGCCCTAACTGGTTTGGCTCAGTGGATAGAGAGTTAGCCTGCGGACTGAAAGGTCCCAGGTTCGATTCTGGTCAAAGGCACATGCCCAGGTTGCAGGCTCATCCCCAGTAGGGGGTGTGCAGGAAGCAGCCGATCAATGATTCTCTCTCATCATTGATGTTTCAACCTCTCTCTCCCTCTCCCGTCCTGTCTGAAATCAATAAAAAAAATATATTTTTAAAAAAATGTTTTGATGATCAGGTTCTAGAAGGAAGAATTAGTAGTGGGGAACTGAGATGGGTTTGCCCCTAGGATTTCAACCCAACCTGACTGGGTACTAAGAGAGCTGCTGAACTTGGGTGTGGCTGGGGGTGGGGTGAGGGACAGGGGCCTTTAGCTAGTTCCAGCCTTTTGTCCTCAAACTGGAAATTCCAAACTGGATTTTCGGGGGCTTCATTTTGAATAAGAAGCAATGTTCCCTCAATCCCTACCATACCTAGTGATTTCCAGATCTGACCATTATCAGCAGATTGTGAAATAACACAGACGACCAGCAGATTGAGTAATCTGGGGCAGAATGCAGGAATCTGACCAATTCAGATGACCCTAATGCCCAGCTGGGGTTTAAAACCCCTGAATGGGTTCCTGCAGTCTCCTGACCTAAAACCTTTGGCTACCTACCCTCCACTTTATTTTGATTTAGGACCTTCTGATTTTCCCTGGAAGTCCCAAGATTGTGCCTGTTTTATCTGAGGAGACCAGACATGAGCCTGAGGCTCTTCTGAATTTGATGCCAATTTCTCTGGTAGAATCACCTCACTGTCCACTTCAGATGGACAGAAACGGCAAGGTTATAAACAACTCTCCTCCAGCTTCCGGGTGCAGAGCAGACTTGTGAGGAGGTGGCACATTGTAGGTGCTCAGTCCATCCTGCTGGAATAAATGAATTCAGCAGCATCTTCTAGAACAGCGGTTCTCAACCTTCCTAATGCCACGACCCTTTAATACAGTTCATGTTGTGGTGACCCCAACCATAAAATTATTTTCGTTGCTACTTCATAACTGTCATTTTGCTACTGTTATGAATCGTAATGTAAATATCTGATATGCAGGATGTCTTCTCATTGTTACAAATTGAACATAATTAAAGCATAGTGATTAACCACAAAAACAATATGTAATTATATATGTGTTTTCCGATGGTCTCAGGCGACCCCTGTGAAAGGTTGAGAACCGCTGTTCTAGAGGGTTAGGTGTATCTCCTGACGTTGGCTTTCTTTTTTAAAAAGTATATATTTTTATTTATTTCAGCGAGGAAGGGAGAGGGAGAGATAGAAACATTAAAGAGAATCATTGATTGGCTGCCTCTTGCACACCCTCTACTGGGGATCAAGCCCACAACCTGGGCATGTGCCCTGACTGAGAATCTAACCACAACCTCCTGGTTCAGGGTCAATGCTCAACCATTGAGCCATGCTGGCCAGGCCTGATGTTGGCTTTCAAAGCTTCCATAGAAACAATTCTTGGTTGGGCTGGTCCAGACTAAAGGGGATTCTTCTCACTGCTGTGTCACTCCAACTTCACACAAGCCCCACACCCTGGGCTGTCAGATCCCCAGACGTAAATAAGTCAGCCACCAACATGGAGGTGTTCACTGAGTCACGCCAACCCCCTCTGCCCCCCATGTAGCCCAGGGTAAGCCCCTGTCCACCTCCTTTGATTTCAGCAGCAGAGATGGTTCTTCTGAGCTCTGGATATAGTCCTTGACTATATTTTAAGGGTACAACAACTTAAAATATTCACATACAATATTCCATATGTAAATGAGCAAGTAGGATGATTCATGCAAGCACCCGTCATTTCTATTTTGGAAAGGAATAGAATTTAGAAATTAACAAAAAATTGAGAGCTAGGTTGATCCCATCTGAAGAATGCTCCCCACATTTCTGACTTCCCACTAACAAGAAACTTCAGAGAGGCCACAGTCATGGGAGCAGCATGCATCCGGAGGCCAATGCTCTCCCAGTGAGCCGGTGAACCCCCAAGAGCCTTTCCGGCCCAAGCAGCTGTCTTTCTAGAGATACATTTAAAAAAAAAAAAAAAAAAAGCAACATTCCATCCACAGTCCAACTCGAACCCCCCTCCCCCAAAGGAATGCTGTTCTTGGCAAGAGATCTTCCAAAGGAAACAACATCTGTGGAACCTTCATCCGTGAGGTCAGGGAAAAGCTGAGGCAGCGAAAACCTTCTCAGTCCTTCATTCAACCCAAGTTGCAGGCCCTCAACAGAGAAGCAGGATGGGAGCCATCCTAACAACCTAGCACCAATGCCTGTGTCTTGATATTACCCCTTCTGAGTTCCATGGCAGCTTCTTGTGTTTTGCAAGGCTGGACAATTCCCTGTTTACCGGGTTGCTCAACTAAACCAAAGGAGTTGATTAGATCCCCTTAATACCTACACAGGTAGGATTTGTAATTTAGCCTCATCCTCAATCACTAAATATTTATGATGCACCTTTTGTAGGTCCTGGGGCAACAGCCATGAACTAGACAAAATTCCTGCTCTCAATACAGTCAAGCCTAATTCCTTGTGCCTGTGGTCCAGAAATTCCACTTGCCAGAGTCTTCTCTCTTGACGAGAACAAGCAAACTCATGGACAGATATGGAGAGGAAGCTCAATGGTGACAACTCCCAGATATGACATCTAAAGCACATGCAACAAAATAAAAAAATAGACAAGTGAGACTACATCAAACTAAAAAGCTGCACAGCAAAAGAAATCATCAACAAAGTGAAAAGACAACCTATGAAATGGGAAAGATTACTTGAATATCCAAAATGCATAAAGAACCCATACAACTCAATAGGAAAAACCAAAACGAAAAATCCAATTAAAAAATGGGCAAAGGACCTGAATAGGTGTTTTTCCAAAGAAGATATACCAATAGTCAACGGGTATATGAAAAGATGCTCAACCTCATTAGTCATTAGGAAAATGCAAATCAAAACTATAATTATCACCTCATGCCTGTGTGAATGGCCAACAAAAAGATAAGATAAACGCTGGTGAGGATATGAAGAAAAGGGACCCTTGTGTGCTGTTGTTGGGACTGACCCAGTCACAATGGAAAACAGTATGGAGAATCCTTTAAAAATTAAAAATAGAACTACCATATGATCCATCAATTCCACTTGGGAATATATCCAACAGAAACAAAAACACTAACCTGAAAAAGATATCTGTACTCACATGTTCATTTGTAATAGTCAAGACATGGAAACAACCTAAGTGTCCCCTGAAAGATGAATGGATAAAGAAGCTGTAGTATGTATGTGCAATGGAATATTCAGCCATTAAAAAATGAAGGGGCCCTGACATGTTGCTCAGTGGTTAGAGCGTCAGCTCATGGACATGTGTGGAGGCAACCAATCATTGTGTCTCTCTCACATTGATATTTCTCTTTCTGCCTCTCTCCCTCCCTTTTACTCTCTCTAAAAACCAATGGAGAAAAAATATCCTTGGATGAAGATTAATCAAAAAAAAAGAAAGAAAATCCAGCCATTTGCAACAACATGGATGGACCTTGAGGGTATATGCTAAGCAAAATAAGTCAGAAGACCAATACTGGATGATTTTTTTTAAATGCAGAAACTAAACACAACAAAATACCTCTCATCCCAAAAACTAAATTCACCGAAAAAGAGATCAGATTTGCAGTCATCAGAAGCAGAGGAGGGAAGGAGAGGATGGGAACTGAAGCAAGGTGGTCAAAAGGTACAAATTTTCAGCTGTAAGGTAAATAAGTACTAAGGATATAATGTACATGACTATAGTTAACACTACTGTATAACAGATGTTAAAATTATTGAGTAGACTTTTTCTTCAATTTATGAGATGATGGATATAATCATTTCACAATATATGCAAGTCAAACCATTAATATAGAGATGTATGTCAATTATATCTCAATAAAACTGGAAAGAAAAAAAAAGAAAACCTTTCCAACTATAAGAATCCCAGTAGAGGCAAATCCAGAGAAGGCCCCTCAATTATGGAGCTAAAATGCTATCTATATATCCCTTGAAACACTCTTATCCAGCACCCCTGTGGGTACATCAACAGACATCAAAGCAAAGCAGTATAAGGGGAATAAGAGAACATCATGGGGTATGTATGGGAGAGGGAAGGAGACTTCATTGGGTTCATAGTTATTTCCTAGAGGAAAATGAGATTCCATTGTGCTGACCTAAGCCCAAATATTAAGAGCTCAGGTTTGGCTCAATAAGCGCCCACAATGTGCTGGGCTGAGTGTCAGGTACTCTGGTACGTACTCATTGTATTCTCACACCAACCCTGCTTGTCTCCCTGTTACGGATGAGAAGCCAACTGGCCTGACCAATGTCATGGATCTAATCAGAGGCACAGACTTGACTGAACTTGGACCTTGTGAGTTCGTGTCTCAATTTATTTACAACTTCCCATTCCAGACTTATTACTCCCATCTTCATCTCATAAATTTTTAAACATTTAAAAAATATTTAAAAAACTTTATATTTTTATAAAAATAAAAATCCTTATTCTTATTGAGTGGCCTGAAGGATGATTTCCTTGATTAGGAAAATTTGAGAGAGAAAACAATAAAACAAACAAAATTTATAATCCCAAGACACAGGATCACTTGGACTTTTTGGTTAATGTTGAGATTCTTAGGAACCAAGATGCTATTTTAAGGAAGGCTGGGCAACATATTTAGGGACTTCTGTACAGCTGATGTTACACTTCCTTTTACCTTCTATAGACAGGGAACCAAGACTCAGAAGTTTTAAATGGCTTGTTCAAATCCACTCAGCTGTTATTTGGCCACACCAGCATCAATCCTGTGGACTGATTATAGTTCTCCTTCTACTGTAAACACATTTTGGCTGATAGTTTCACACGTATAAGCTTTCTCTCCCCTGCTGGAACGTCAAGTTCATCAGAGCAGGCCCTGAGAATTTGTACTTACCACAATGCTTGGCATATTAGCTCATAATCAGCTGTCATCTGTCAACCTTTCACAATATGGACCCCTAGGTCTGGGATAATCACACTGAGTCTCTATCATTTTTGCTGGGCTTTGGGTTAGAGGAATGAAAAAGGAATCTGGAAACACATTTGGAAGCACAAGACAATCCAACATAAATTCCACCCTCGCCTGGCCTACCTGTAGCTCACCAGTAGGGCAGTAATCAGATGACCACACATTCCCAGTTGTGGTATAAGATCTAAAATTAACATTCAATATTATATGCGAGAAAACCAGAAGGGCTTCAAATGGCCTAACTATAAGTCCCCCCCCACCCCCACTGCTCTTGTGGATAATGTTCCCTAAACACCTCTCCTGATCAAAGGACCAGGCATGGTTCCTGCTTATAGCAGTTCCCAGTCAGTCCCTGGACTTATTCAGACAAAGCAATCACATCCTCCCACAGGAACCAAGGGCCACCCATCCTCTTGGTACCACTAAGCCTGCTGCCTCTCAAGGCCCCTAGTTTACTGGGTTCCTGAGTGCAACCCCCATGTGATTATGTAACTAATAAACTGCCATTTATAGTTAAAAAAAGATGGCACAATTCCGGATTCTAGACAGATCAAGTTTTCCTTTTGTACATACCTCCCATTACTATAAAAATTTTTTCAGAAAAGAGGGAAGGAACAAGGAGTTGCTGCTCACACATCTGTTTCTCAGTCCACTGCATGTCAACATCACACAATCTAAGAGACTAAATGAAATGAGTTTAGGTGGGGGCCACAGGAAAAGTGGACCCTGGTATTAGGCTGCACAAATATTACTTAACAGTATAGTGCACTATGCAAATCCTTGAACTAAGTGAGAAAGAAAACTTATTTGGGGATCCAACTCCTAGCAAAATCTGAATCTCTATCAACTGATCTAAAATCAAATAATAATTAAAGGGATTCAGCCCTGCTGGTATAGCTGTGGTGGAGCATCAACCTATGAACCAGGATGTCATCGTTGGATATTCTGTCAGGGCACATACCGGGTTGCAGGCTGGATCCCCAGTAGGAGGCGTGCAAGAGGCAGCAGATCAATGATTCTCATCGTTGATGTTTCTCCCCCTTCCTCTCTGAAAGCAATTTTAAAGTGTTTTTTTAAAGGAGGGACTCGCAGCACATAGGGAACAGCATCAGGAATCCTCTCTGCACTGGACTGTGGGTTGTTTGGGGTCAGTGTGTCTAATCCAGTGATGGCGAACCTTTTGAGCTCAGCGTGTCAGCATTTTGAAAAACCCTAACTTAACTTTGGTGTCATGTCACATATAGAAATTTTTTGATATTTGCAACCATAGTAAAACAAAGATTTATATTTTTGATATTTATTTTATATATTTAAATGCCATTTAACAAAGAAAAATCAACCCAAAAAAATGAGTTTGCGTGTCATCTTTGGCACGCGTCATAGGTTCGCCATCACTGGTCTAATCACACCCATTCCTGATTTTAACCCAATGCTGAGCCACAATCTACTCAAAAATGGCTGAGCCATGCACATAAAAGAACATTTACTCTGTGAAGTACATGTTCACCGAGAATAGCAGCAAGCTTAGCTCGCTCTCTCTCTAGGTTCAGTGAAGCTGCCTGAAAGATTACGGTTTCCCACACAGCTGGGCAGGAAGGTGAATCCTTAGGTGTGGGCTAGAAAATGTGAGACTGGCTCACTTCCACCTGACAGGCTACCAGTGGCGTTCCTCACACCACAAAGGCCCTGCAGAGCCTGCTGTATGCTGCAGACAGCCCCCCTAGCTACCCATGTGCCTTCAAAGAGGTACTGCATACACTTTGCTCCCAAGGGCAGGTTAATATCTGGATACTTCTGTACTTACTGATCCTTCCTAGTAGTCACAGGGCAAAAAATCATTACAGGCGCTGTAAAGTAAAGGGAGCATCTGTTTAGACTACCCAGATAGAATTCATGCCAAAGCCTACACTCGAAGACCTCAAAGTAGAAGCTAACACAGGGGAGAATAAAAATCAGCCATTCTTCCTCAATATCCACTAGGAAGAGGCATGGGTGACCACAGGTTATTGAGCCAAGTTCATCTGTATAGAAGACTAGAGAAAGCCAAAAAACCATAATGCTGAAAGCAGGACAGGGTGCCAGAAATCCATGTAAGGAGCTGGAAGGAAGGATACTCTCAGTTCTTCCCACTCCAACCCAGGCTCCGTTCTCCCACCTAAATTCTCATCCCTAGAAAAGACACATGGACACAGCTACCTTAAAAACTAGGTTTGTATTTCTGGTTAGGTTCCAGAGTGGCAGAACTCAAGAATTATACGATATCTAACCTGGTCCCCACCTCAGCTTGTTTGCCTCCCTCCCTCCCTCCCACAAAGATAACATTATACAAAACTTTATTTACAGGAAAACCAGTTAAAAATTAAGGGTGTGTACAAAAGTAGACATGAGAGCCAGAAATATCAATGCGGGGAAAGCTTTGGGGATTACAGGCCATCGTATTCCACACTGGACCCGGGGCAATATATTATGTACCAGGCAGGGAGAAGCATAGTGAATCTCAGTGCCAATTTTAGGGGAAACCAATCACTCTAGGGGAAGTCTTAATTATCCAGCCACCCTTCTTCTGCCATATGGGTTCAGAGCCAGGTAGCGAGGAAAACAAAACACAAAGTCTTTGACAAGCCCCATAGAAAAAACAAGGGCTCAGAAGGCATAGCGGGTCCGGATGTCCTCAAGCTTCTTGGACACCTCAGGTGGGGTTCGGTCCAGTTCTTCAGAGACATTCTTTTGTTTGTTGGGCTCCATAGAGTTGAACTGCTCACAGAGGTCTCCATCAATCACATTCTAGGGCATGGGAAAATGAGAGCAAAAGAAAAAGGTTAGATGCCAAGAAAATGGCACCTGCTAAAGCGGCAGCTGCAAGGAGGGCTTTTTATTCTACAAACACCTTAATCCCATTTACAGAGGAGGAACACGACTGTAAGGTGATTCTTAGTAGCCAGAGTTCAGATAAACAAGACTAACTGAAATCTTTTCTCTGGCTGTGCTCTGCCTGGAGTTCTCCCATTACTGTCTCCATCAATCTACTCCCTTGATGCTCCTTCATTCAGACTGTTCTGATTTTTTTGGCACCAGACAATGTGACTTTTATACAAAAGCATATCACAATAAAATTTATGTATAACTACAAAGCAATACTATTTTTTAAAGAAACTGCAGACTTTTTCTCCATTGTATGTTTTAGACTCCTCTGTCAAAAATTAGTTGCCCAGCCCAGCCATTGTACAGCTTAGTGGCTGAGCATCGACATAGGAACCAAAAGGCCCCGAACTGATTCCCGGGTTGCAGACTCAATCCCCAGTAGGGCAAGCAGGAGGCAGCCGATGAATGTTTCCCTCTCATTGGTGTTTCTGTCTCTCTATCCCTCTCCCTTCCTCTCTCTCTAAAATCAATACATATTTTTTAAAAATAAATATTTGCCCATATTTCTGGGCTTTCAATTCTGTTCCATTGGTCTGTATGTCTGTTTTTCTGCTAAAATGCTGTTTGAATTATTGTCGCTTTGTAGTGTATTTTGAAATCAGGGAGTGTGATACCTCCGGCTTCTTTCTTTTTTCAAAATAGCTTTGGCTAATTTTTTTACAGTTCTGGTAAATCTCCATCACTATGCCATATTGTAGCAATTTTAAGGTAGAAGTTCCTAATTTACTTTAATTATTCTGCATTCCAAATAGCCATCAAGCCATCATTTTGTTTTGTTTTGTTTTTGTTAATCCTCACCTGAGGATATATTTTTCCATTTATTTTTAGGGAGAGTGGAGGAGAGACAGAAACATTGATATGAGAAAAACACATCAATTGGTTGCCTCCTGCATGAGCCCTGACCAGGGCTCAGGCCGGGGAGAAGCCTGCAACTAAGGTACGTGCCCTTGACGGGAATCGAACCTGGGACATCACGGTTCCCAGGCTGACGCTCTATCCACTGAGCCAAATGGGCTAGGGTCAAACCATCATTTTAACAGTCTGGCTTTGACCAATGTTTCACGAGAAACTTCATCTGAAACCCTAAGCTTAGTTGTCTTTTTTTCTAAAACCATCAATCGATCAACACTCCAGCTTCATTACTCTGCAACTGTCTGGGGGTGGAGCCTATAGGCTAGCGTTCTGACTCAGGGAGATTCCAGCAGCCCCCAGGGACTGGCTTGGTGAGGAGCTGGCAAAAAGTGGGGGCCATGCAGTTGAGAAAGGGACTGTTCTGAACTAAAAAAAAAAAATAAAAAATAAAAAAATATATATATTTATTGACTTGAGAGAGTAAGGGAGAGGGAGAGAGATAGAAACATCAATGATGAATCACTGATCGGTTGCTTCTTGCATGCCCCCTACTGGGGATTGAGCCCAAAACCCGGGCATGTGCTCTGACTGGGAAATGAATCAGTGACCTCCTGGTTCATAGGTTGATGCTCAACCACTGAGCCACATTGACCCAGCAGGACTATTCTGATTTTTAAGGGAGTGAAAAGACCAAAGAAAATACTGGTTAAATGGGCTGATTCCCCCTTTCAACCTACATTTCCAGCAATGACCTACCTTAACAGGGAAATAATAAGAACGAAAGCTGAGGTGGTCTCGCCCACAAAGAGGAGGATGCTCAGACCGGAGATGCATTTCCACATGCTGGAAGAAGTCATGGTCCTGGCAGAAGAAACAAAAAATCTGTGACTAAAAGACAAAAGTGATCTCAACTACTAGTCTGTGGTTTCCAGAAGCACAATGAGCAGAGAAGCCACTGATTTTTATCATAAAAACAGATGTTAAACATCTAAATCATTCCTCTGATGAGCACAGGTTGTCCTGCTACAACAAAATAGCTAAAACCCGAAAGAAAACCTCCCTGTACTTGCAAAACATGAGAACACCACGTGTAAAGAGTGGTTTGTGAAGTCAGATTCTTGATGCCGGCTTCCTTGGCTGGAATAACATAAACCAAATTTAGCCAATCCTAGATTTGACTGTAAGAGGTAAAAAGTGCCCCAGTCCTTATCATGCCATCATTCCTAATCTGTGGGGTTTGGTCTGGGGCTTTGGCTTATAATTAAGCCTATACCCAGATCAGCCATACAAATGGCTTTTCCCATGGGGCTAAATAAATACATAAATAAATCGGGATTCTATCTCCTCAGGCACTTTTGTCAGCTTATAAAATTTCCAGAACACTCTTAGTTGCAGGTAGGGACAATGGATTTGCCCCCCTTAAGCAGATTTAGCACAAAGAAAGCACCTTGGGAAGGCAAAAGCCAGAGCAGCGTGGGAGAACTCACCTCATGAGATGTGAACGGAACAAGGATGCCAATTCCTCCTGACAAGGTGGTATAGACAAGCGATTCTGAGCCTCCAGGGATCAGCGTGGTCTTCTGTAACGACAGCACTGTCTCCCCCACATGATAGTTCATGATCACCTCTGCCTGCAAGTCAAAAACAGACCAATAACTGTGTGGGCCCTCAGGAGCCTGTTCTAGATTCCCACAAGCAAGCAGTACCTCCAAAGGGCAGGTTTCACCTCTCAAAACCCCCAAATTACTAAAATTTATTTTTTAAATTTTTAAAAAAATATATTTTATTGATTTTTTTACAGAGAGGAAGGGAGAGGGATAGAGAGTTAGAAACATCGATGAGAGAGAAACACCGATCAGCTGCCTCCTGCACACCTCCTACTGGGAATGTGCCCGCAACCAAGGTACATGCCCTTGACTGGAATCGAAACTGGGACCTTTCAGTCCGCAGGCCGACGCTCTATCTACTGAGCCAAACCGGTTAGGGCTAAAAATGTTCTTAACATTTAGAGCTTAATGCCCTTACAAACATGCAGACATAAGGTAATTTCTGATAAAACAGCCAACGCTAGGCGTGCTCTCTAAAAGGAAATCTATTTTTAGAAGTCCAGGAGGCTCTATTATAGAAGAGTAGGGCCAGCACACACCTGAGAAGAGCTGGTGAGAATGGACCTATGCAGCCATCGTTTTCAAGGACCTCACTATGTTCCAAAGAGATTTTATGCTGCTAAATGACTCAGAAAAATTTCTACTCTAGAGTCATAAAAATGCGATAGTGAGTGACTTGAACACTTTAAGTCAAATGCAGTGTCCATCCGTCACAGGCTACGTACTATCAATTTAGGGACTTCCATGCATGCAGGAGAGCACACGCAGCGTAGTCACATGCACTGTGGATAATGCACTAAAACATGCTTCCTCGGTGAGGGTCAGGGGAAATGTACCACACAGGCTGCTGCCTCTCCTTTGGGCCCCTCCTGAATCTTACCTTCTGAGAGGCCCCATTGAGCAAGCCCCGGTCCCACAGGGCTTTGTTTCCTGTGGGGTCCTCATCGACTTCGTCATTGGTGTTAGGCGGGAGCCTCACCTACAAGAAAGTGACAAATCACAGGGCTGAGTCCTGCATCAACTTACCTGCAACACCAAGCAACATGTGTGCCCCAGGTCCTTGCAAGTAAACCTCGGGGCACTGACTCTGGCAGAGGCCTGAGCCCAAGTCTCCTGCACCTGTTCTGGTGTCCTAGGAGGGAGAGACTCAAGACATTCAACCCCTGAGCAAGGGTCTAACACAGCAAGAGCAGAAAACAAAGACCACAGAATACAAACAAGAGAAGTCAGACGGGGCTTAAAACAACAAACCAAAATCCGGTCAAAATGTGAAAATAAATATTAGGCATTAGCTCAAACGGAACTATTATTAAATCATGTCCCATGGGGAGGAGGGAGGTGAAAAGGGGGTGAGGAAAAATAATCAAAAAAATTGATAAGATTTAGAGAACACAAAGTTCTTTTTAGAGTGAGCCTTAGTAGGGCTAAATTTTATACCCAATTTTACTTTCCATACTAGAGATCATAGTCCTGGGTTCTTGCCTTTACCACAAACTGAACCAGCTTTTATACACATCACTATATATAACCCAAGTAATATCAACTCACCACACAAATGTTGCCAAACTTGTCTGCCCCAGCCACAGTGTCATAATCGAGAAGGCTAGCTGTAGTGACCCACCGGGGGTAGGTGTCATCGGCAAAGATGATGAGCTGGTTCTCATTACGCTTGTAGCGAACCCAGATGAAACTTTCTTGGACGTCAGACACAATGACTCTGTGCCCAATAGTCTGGATCCCAGAGATGTAATTGGCAATATGCTGGAAAAAACAAGGACAACAATGGGTATAACCTTGAGGTTCAGAACCCACAGAAACTCCAGCTTCCCCTGAATGCAACATATATAGGGTCTGTAGAATAGCATACACCAAAGAATAGTAGTCATCAACGAATTCCTAGATGGGGAAAAGAGCTAAATGGTTTTAATATAGTATCGCAACAAAGTGAATCATATGAATTTTTCCCTAGTGCATATAAAACTTATGTTTATACTACCCTGTAGTCTATTTAGTATGCAATAGCACTGTCTAAAAAATTGCATATACCTTAATTTAAAAACACTTTATTACTAAAAACTGCTAACCATCTGAGCCTTTAGCAAGTCATAATTTTTTTGCTGGTGGAGGCTTTTGCCTCAATGTTGATGGCTGCTGACTGATCAGGGTGGTGGTTGCTGAAGGTTGGGGTGGCTGTGGCAATTCTTAAAATAAGACAACGAAGTCTGCTGCATCGATTGACTCTTCCTTTCACAAACAATTTCTCTGTAGCATATGATGCAGTTTGACAGCATTTTGGAGCCAATCCTCTCAAACCCTGCCAGTGCTTTAACAACTAAGTTTATGCAATATTCTAAATCCTTTGTTATTTCAACAATCTTCAGAACATCTTCACCAGGAGTAGACTCCATCTCAAAATATCACTCTTTGCTCATCCATAAAGCAGCAACTCCCCATCCACTGAAGTTTTATCCAGAGACTATAGCAATTGAGTCACACAGCTTCAGGTTCCACTTCTAGTTCTCTTGCTATTTCCACATCTGTAGTTAGTCCTACACTCAAAGTGTTAAGACCCACCAAGTCATCCATGGGGGCTGGAATCAACTTCTCCTAAACTCCTGTTAATGTTGCTATTTTGACTTCTTCCCATGAATAAATGTTCTTAATGGCATCTAGAATGGTAAATACTTTCCAGAAGGTTTTTAATTTACTCTGCCCAGATCCATCAGAGGAATCACTATCTATGGAAACTACAGCCTTACAAAATGCATTTCTTAAATAGTAAGACTTGAAATTTTAAAAAATTTTGTTTAAAGACTTGAAAGTTCAAGTTACTCCCTGATCCATGGGCTACAGAATGGGTTTTGTTAGCAGTCATGAAAATAACATTAATTCCATACATTTCCACCAGGGCTCTTGGGGTCAATGAGCAGTAATATTTTGAAAGAAATCTTTTTTTTTCCTTTTTCTGAGCAGGTCTCAAAATGGGCTTAAAATACTCAGTAAATCATGTTATAAATAGATGTGCTGTCATCCAGGCTTTTTCATTCCATTTATAGAGGCAGAGCAGATTTACATAGGGTAAATGAGCACCGGCGTCAACGGCCCCTACCAAGAGAGCCAGCCTATCTATCCTTTGAAGCTCTGAAGCCAGGCACTATCTGTCAAAGTCCTAGCTGGCACCTTTTTCTAGAATAAAGCTGTTTCACCTACACTGAAAATCTGTTTAGTGTAGCCACCTTCACCAATTATCTGGTAACTTGCTGTACTTTCACCATCAGCACTTTTATGTTATAGAGATGGTGGCTTCTTGCCAGCTTCAATGTTTTCTTTTGCAGCTTCCTCACTTCTCTTAGCCCTCATAGAATTGAAGAGTTAGGGCCTTGCTCTGGATTAGGCTTTGGCTTAAGGGAAGATTATGGCTGGTTTGATCTATCCAGACCACTAAGTTTCTCCATATCAGCAACAAGGCTGTTTTGCTTTCTATCATTTGTTCACTGGAGCAGCACTTTTCATTTCCTTCAAGAACTTTTACTTTGCATTTACAACCTGTCTGGCACAAGAGGCCTAGCTTTCGGCCCATCCCTGCTTTGGACACGCCTTCCTCACTAAGCTTAATTATTTCTAGCTTTCGATTTAAAGTGAGATATGTGTGACTCTTCCTTCCACCTGAACACTTAAGCGGCTATTGTAGGGTTATTAATTGACCGAATTTCAATATTGTTGTCTCAGGGAATAGGGAAGCCCAATAAGAGGGAGAGAGATGTAGAGTCAGGGGAGTAGTCAGAACATACAACATTTATCAATTAAATTATCTGTCTTATATGGCATGGTTCATGGGGCCCCAAAACAATTACAACAGTAACATCAAAGATCACTTATCACAGATTACCAAGAATTACCAAAATGTGGCACAGAGATATAGAGTGAGCAAATGCTGCTAGAAAATGGCATGGATAGACTTGCTTAAACAGGGTTGCTACAAGCCTTCAATTTGTAAAACGCAATATATGCAAAAGAGCAATAAAACAAGGAATGCCTGTAGAGAAAATATATTCCTAATTCTCACAGTTAAATTCCATATAGAAGTAAGCAGGACAGAAACATGGTTCTTAAAGTTTGAAGAAATCAAGAAAACCAACTTTTCATGCCCGTCTAAAATCTCAAGGGCCTATTTCTGAATCTGAAATTAGATGACTGTAACAAGGTCCTAATAAAGACCTGATTTTAACAGTACCATGCCAATGCCCCTCCTTCCTTCCTCACTAGCTACATCTGGGGCTTTCTACCATCATATTTACCTTGTTCTCACATTTTCGAAGTAACTTCTTTTTTCCCAGGTCATAGACTCGCAGAAGCTTCCCCACACCAATCAACACCCTACCCTGGAATGGGGCAATGGCAGCAGGGACCTCTTCCACTGGAGTCTGTGAGGAAAAACAGGTAATGCAGCTATTAGAACATATATGCTAGCCCCACCCTCTCAACCCAAAATGCCTTCTATAGGCATCTGTCAGAAAGAGAGACAGCAAGTCAAGTGATTATCTTTTGCTCATCAGGGAAATAAACCAACATACAACACTATGAAACAGGATGTTTGGGTGAACAGGTTCCACATGCTGCATTTCATCCAGCAAATAAATCAATGCCACAAGTCAAAAGAAGTCCTGGTGCCCAAGGAACACTGACTCAGAGCCCATGCTAATTCAACCAGTGCCATGAACTAGCAGTGAAGCCTCAAAATCTGCAGTTTGTGGAGGAATAAACAGCAAAGGAGAGCTAGTGACATCTTAATTGTGAGGGAGACCAATGAGCTTAGTACAAAGAAGGGTCTATGAAATAATTATTTCCTAAAAAACACCCCCCTTATGGGAGGGTTGGAGAAGCCACGTTCATGTACTGTCAGTGTTGTCTCAAGGAGACAACAGGAATTGTTTTTCTTTAATTTTAAAATTATGGTAAAATAGCTCTGGCAAGTGTGGGTCAGTTGGTTGAGCATTGTCCTGTGCACTGTAAGGTTGCTGGTTCAATTCCTGGTCAGGGCACATAACCAGGTTTCAGATTTAATCCCCAGTTGGGGTGGGTATGGGAGGCAATTGTTCGATCTTTCTCTCTCTCCTTCTCTAAAAATCAATTTAAAAATGTATTTTTAAAAATTATAATAAAATATACATAACATAAAATTTACCATTTTAACCATTTTTAAGTATATCATGCATTGGCATTAAGTACATTCACATTGTTGTATCACCATCACCATCACCATCACCATCACCATCACCATCACCATCACCATCACCATCACCATCACCATCACCATCACCATCACCATCACCATCACCATCACCATCACCATCACCATCACCATCACCATCACCATCATCCTACCCCAGAACATTTTAAATCTTTCCAAGAGAAAATCTGTAACCAGTGAACAGTAACTCCCAGAGAATACCAACTCTTTAAACTGATGAATTTTGATCACAAATTGCTGCCTGCTTAGTAAGACGAGTAAACAAGGAGTCAATTCAGTGTGAATAGTTAGCACACAGGCAGCAAAGCTTCACTGGAACATGCAAGCCCCAGTAGCATTTTCCATGTGCTACCAAGAGATGGATCAGAATCAATGAGTTGGCTCCCAAAATGGTCACCAAAGACCTGATCCACAAGTTAAGCAAAAGTGGGAGAATCTAGTAGGATATAAGATCCAGTAGAGCCCCAGCTGGTTTGGCTCAGTGGATAGAGCGTCAGCCTGCAGATTGAGGGGTCCCAGGTTCGGTTCCAGTCAAGGGCACATGCCCAGGTTGTGGTCGCGACCCCAGTGGGGGCGTGCAGGAGGCAGCCAATCAATGATTCCCTCTCATCATTGATGTTTCTATCTCTCTCTCCCTCTCCCTCCTCTCTAAAATCAATTAAAAAAAAAATCCAGTAGAACCACTGGCTGGTTCCTACCTTGTGCAAAAACTCCAGTTTTTCCCCATTGTTCACAAGCTTGTAGGTATAGACAAAGCCGCCTGCTACAGATCGGGGGTTCAGTATCAGGTCTTTGGCCACGCCCACCAGCACATACCAATCCTCACCAGTGTTGGCGAACCTGCACACGGCCACACTGCACAGAGAAAGAAGCAGGAGTTAGGCAGCAGTCACAGCCCAGAAAATTCCTGTTTCAGCTCCAAAACCTTGGATGCTCTGGACTCCTTACCTAAAAGCAGCTTCATTCTGTTCCAGCTGGACAAGGTCCAGCGTGTTACCCTGAATAGGATTCATCACTCGGATCACAGAGGCCCACTGCCCATTGCCAGCCTTGGGAGCTCCAAAAATGGACTCAGGGAGGTTTTCATTGAGGAATGCTGCTGCCATCTCTGCAGCTAGCTCCCGCTCATCCTCCCCTGCTGCTTCCACCATTTCCTAAATAAAAAAAATAAACAAGGAAGAGTTGGTGTATTCAGAAGTGGGTGCTGGGTTAAAGTAGATAAGTAACAAGAACACCTCCAGGGGCAGTCCATAATCTATACAATAGCAAAGTCTGTCAACCATATCAGAATTTCCCAAAATGAAAAGATTAAAGGGAGAGGTACACAGACAAGAGGAAGAGGGAAGATCACTAAAGGAGAAACCAGTACTTCCCATCTAATTTCCTTTGCTAATTCCTCTGATCTCCTCTCTTCCAGACCAGATATAGTTTTACATGACTGGGGATACTTGCCTTTGGTGAGAAATGATTTCTGGAAGGAGCTACTGTTATGGGGAATATGAAAGCTATCTTCGTTGGGCCCAAATCCAGGAAACATGTAACAGACTGTTTTGGAAACTCAAGGACTGAAGAACTCTGTTCCAGAGATGGAACTAAATACTGAATAAACCCAGGTCAGTGTATTAGTCCTGAAGTCACAAGAAAACCTCTAAAACCAAGGACTCAGACAAAGGGCTCTGCAAGAAGGACCCGAGAAGAGCCTGGATCTTTAATATAACAAAGAATAGCCCTGGCTGGTTTGGCTCAGTGGATAGGGCGTCGGCCTGCGGACTGAAGGGTCCCAGGGTCGATTCCAGTCAAGGGCACATACCTCGGTTGCAGGCTCCCTCCCCCGTCTCCTGCCTGCACAGGCCCTTGTCAGGGCTCGTGCAGGAGGCAACCAATCGATGTGTTTCTCTCACATCGATATTTCTGTCTTTCCCTCTCCCTTCCACTTTCTCTAAAATCAATGGATAAAAATCTTCAGATGAGAAAAAAAAACAAACGTGTA